CTTTCCGACACATAATCCAGGGCTTTTTTTTGGGAACGGAGTTTCGCTCTTGTTGCCTGGGCTGGAGTGCAATGGCACGATCTCGGCTTATCTCAACCTTCGCCTCCCAGGTTCAAGCGATTCTCCTGCCTCAGCCTCCCGAGTAGCTGGAATTACAGGCATGAGCCACCTCATTGTGTGTTTTTAGTAGAGACGGGCTCATTTTGTGTTTTTAGTAGAGAAGGGGTTTCTCCATGTTGGTCACGCTGGTCTTGAACTCGATCCAGGGCTCTTTTTAACCATACTATTTAAGCCCTGTTGCTCGAAGCCTGTGGTTATAACCTGTGCTTAAAAAGAAATAGTGATGAGGATAAAACAGGGTACCGAACTTGTCAATAGCAAACACATAAATAAGAAAGAGGAGGCAGACAGGAGGATAGGAAAAGGTTGTCTTTTTGAAAAAGGACAAAATGATACAAAAATTAGACAGGCATGGTGGCGCACACCTGTAATCCCAGCTACTCGGGAGACTGAGGCAGGAGAATGACGTGAACCCAGGAGGCGGAGCTTGCAGTGAGCTGAGATCGCGCCACTGCACTCCAGCCTGAGCAACAGAGTAAGACTCAGTCTCAAGAAAAACAAAAACAAAAAAAAAACCCAGTTTATTCCAAGCTGTTCTTCCTCTGAGACCGCATCAGGCTTTCATAAACATTGAGAAAGTTTCCACTGGCCTCGGCTGGTTTCTAATTTGGGCACACAGATGATGTCATGGTAAAATGAACATGTGAAAAACGCTTTGGGCGTCATATGGTCCATGAATAATTAAGGTGAGGATGATGGGATTCTTGGCTGTGGAAAGGAACCCCTTTTTTTCTGCTTCTCTTTCTACAATCAGTTATTGAGATTAAACTCTAAATGCAGTATCTTAGTGTAATAAAAATTAGTTTATATCCTGGAGTGAGAATTTATAAGAGTATGTGTTATGGAGAAATAAGCAATTAGAGATTGAACATAATATACACCCTGCCAGTTACTGAGCAACCACACTACAAGTCTTTGCTGGTTCCCCATTTGTTCAGAACTCTCTATCCCACCTGATCAGTGCCTCCAACTTAGAATTTGGGAGTATTAATTTTGATCTGAAGTTCAAGCTGGGATGAACAATCTCTACTCTTTTTGGTCACTCCCTGATTACCATCTCCTCGCATTGTATCACACAAATGCAAGAATCTAGAGCCCAGAATTGAGGAGAGTGATTAGTGATAGATTGTACAAGGGCATCGGGAAAGCTGGAGGGTCAGGAAGACCAGCGTGTCCCATATGCCTGCCAAAAAGAAATGCACCAGCTAGCACTGGGTTGATGAAAAAGGAAATAGATTCATATTAATTATTTTTTAAATGTCTAGCATTGTCAAAGATACTATTTTACATAATCATAAATGCTCCAGAGCTCAAAATCAAGGGACCCTCATAACATTTCGGGTAAGGTACAAGTAAAGATGTATGAACTTTGCTTGTACTTGCAGCAGAGCACAAAATACAAGTGTTCGTTACCTTGCAACTAAGTCAAGTGAGTTGTAAATTCGAAGAGCAGGCAAATGATTCAAGATGCTTCTATGCCTGCAACGTCTGGAGGGATAGAACTAGGCCAAGAATGAGGTGAGAGTCAAAGAAAGAAAGACCTGATGTAATTGTCGGGATAAATTGGGAGAAAACATGGTAAAACTTACTTGACTAGTTTAGATAAGCATCATTCAGCATTGACATTTTCATTTAATCATTCCTATAGTCAATTTCATTTGATATGGACAGGGTCTAAAGAGACATTAAAAGTCAACTAAAAATTAGAGAAATTTTAGCCATTTCAGAAAAGATAGATTTTGTATGCGTACTGTATTGAAGAAGTGATTTGTTCAAACGAATTCTGGATAGATGCATGAAAGATAGTTAAGAAAATAGATATTTGGGTTGATTAAATTCTATTTTGGGGTCCCTATGGGCACGACTGGGTGTTTCTGAGTCACGCTGTAGAATCTGATTCCAGAAGCAACTGAAAACTGACTCACTGAGTTCTAGAGAATTTTCCCTGTGTCCTTTCTTGTCATCATTTCCTGTGTTCCTGACGCTGTGAAATGGGGTTAGCCGCCGTCTCAATGTGTTCGCTGTTAGCTGGGATGGCGGAAAAACCAACAAGAATAACTCCAGATTCTAAAGTAGTGATTATGAAGATAATACCCGAGGCACACCAGGAAGCACTATGGAAAATGTTATGGTATAATAGTACTTGCAAAATGCAGGGTTTAAGCTTGCATCTTCCTGCATTCTTTTTTTAATTAGAGATGGGGCCTGGCCATGTTGCTTAGGCTGGTCTCAAACTCCTGGCCTCAAGAACTCCTCCTGCCTTGGCCTCCCAAAAGTGCTGAGATTACAGGCATGAGCCACTCCACCCAGCCTCTCCTGTGTTCTTGATAAAATAAAAATGTGTATGTCCTGTAGGCAAGAGGTAAATGAAAGTACAGGACGTGGAAACACTGTGTTTAGAAACTATCTACAATATCATGTTGTCTTTGTGATTAAGAAAATGAGCCGGGTGCAGTGACTCACAGCTGTCATCCTAAAGCTTTGGGAGGCTGAGGTAGGAGGATAGCTTGAGGAATTCAAGACCAGCCTGGGCAACACAGTAAGACCCCCACCTCTTTGAAAGAGTAAATTAATTAATTAATTAAATTTAATAAAAATCAGAAGATATATTAGAAAAATTAGGTATGTTGACTGCACCACATTCTTAGATACAAATATATGTCTCCGACGAATCAGTATTACCTGGAATTTCTCACTAATGTGATCAGGGAAACAGGGACATGAAAACTTGAGCATTCAATCAATAAATAGTTGATTGATGGCTGGGCAGGTGGCTCACGCCTGTAATCCCAGCACTTTGGGAGGCTGAGGTGGGTGGATCACCTGAGGTCAGGAGTTTGAGACCAGCCTGCCCAAAAATGGTAAAACCCTGTCTCTACTAAAAATACAAAAATTAGCCGGGCATGGTGGCAGGTGTCTGTAATCGCAGGTGTCTGTAATCCCAGCTACCTGGGAGGCTGAGGCAGAAGAATCGCTTGAACCTGGGAGGCGGAGGTTGCAGTGAACCAAGATCGCGCCATCGTGCTCCAGCCTGGGCAATGAGAGTGAAGCTCTGTTTCAAAAAATAAATAAAATAAAATAAAATAAAATTAAATTAAAAGTTGATTGTCTACTACACACAGACAATGCTAGGAGCTAGAAACATGAGGAATACGTGAGCTCGACACCAATGGAACATGCTTTCACACCGGGTGCAGCTGACTACCACATCACACAAAACTCATCGCTGCTGTTTTATTTATTTATCTATTTTTTATTTT